AATAAACTCTATTTTGACGACTACGCTAACGTTGTCATTTTCTTCTTAATTAAGCCCACAAAAAGCATAGCAACAACAAAGTTTCCTGTTCCAATTCCATAACAATAGGCTTGTTTCCTCTATGAGAGCCCGAGTCGAACTGTGTCTGCTTACGACGTAACCACATCGCAACTACTAGCGACTACGCAACCACATCGGCACTTTGTCGTATAACCATAACGCAACTGCAAAAAGCTTCAGCAACACTATTCACAAATGACCACGTTTTGTCTTGTCGCACACACACGCACACACACTTGCCTTATGGAAGTGGCTTGTTATGGAAGAGCATAACCTCACATAGGTATCCTTTTTATTTAAAAGAGGCTTCCGTATACGGTTATAACCGTAGGATGTATTATGTTACTGAAATAATGTTTATTTATAGTACGCGGAGACTTAAAACCACGTTTAAGTAACGCTCATGCGGGACTTAACAAGCTGATTATTGTACGATATTTTTTACTTAAATCATGCATAAAAGTTACTATAAAATTCATAATAAAAAAAAACTTAAACTTTTATTGAAACATAATAATAAACACAAAACAATAGAACTTTATTTAGTATCATCTCTTGGAATACATTCTCTTTAAATTACAAACAAAACTAAAGCGAGTGGGTCTGATAACGTCCCTTGTATTGTGCTGAAGACGTGTGCTCCAGAGTTGGCACCGGTTTTAACGAGTCGTGTCCAGTACTCCCTAGGCGTAGTCCCGAAATTATGGAACATATAGCCTTAGTGCACCCAATGCGTTTAGCTTTACCGAGCTTTTCAATAATGGCATTTTGAATTATAATCATGATGTCATTATAATAGCAATCATTACAAATAATCAATTTTTAGCCTTTTGATTGTACGAGGAAGAAAACTTTTAGTAAATTTCACATTGGTGGACCACCAAACATTCATATGGTATGGATGGTATCGCGAGTTTTGTCGGGATGTGCGATGGTGGAATTTTGCGGTAGGAATTAGGTAGAAATAATTCCTCTGAGTATTTCCCGTGATAGATGCAAAATAACATGCAAAGTAATGCAACATCTCTACGCAATGCCAGAGAGTATAGAGAGCCGGTATAATAATAGAATGTGAGGCATTCCATCAGTTAGTGTTGGCCAAAATCGGTCTTGGTCTTGCAGTCTTGGCCTTGTTCTTGCATTTTTGCAAGACCAAGACCAAGAACAAGACCGCCTAATATTAGCAAGACCAAGACCAAGACTGACCGTGCAAGATTTGAGCAAGAACAAGACTAAGCCTGCGAGACTCTTGCATCTTGCAGTTAGGAATGAGTGTCGTTTCAGGGAGTATAGGAGTTCGGGTATACGTGGCCGTGGAAGGAAAAGGGGAGATCTCCCGCCGGGCAAGGTGTTCTGCCCGGGGAGCGGCCGACACTCCGTGTGATAGTTCGGAGATGTTCTATATATACTGTTTATGATTCGGAATGTTGATAGCGCGATTTAGGCTTCGGTGTGTTTTCGCTTGTGGCGGCGACGACAGCGCCGCTACATCACCCCCTGCTCAGACCGGAGGTCGTTAGTGCAGCCTTGTTGCCGACGAATGTGCAAGTGCCAGTGGATTGCCTTGTAGTCTGCGGTGAGTCGAGAAGAAGGCAAGTGATCTGCGAAAGTGCCGTGAAGCAGAGGCGAGCAGTGAGGCTCAGAGCCGTGCCGAACACTGTATAGCGCAGAGAGTAGCTTGAAGGAACAGGAAGCATTATTATTCCAGTGCTGCGATGAACCTTGTGAAGCTAGATGGCTTGCAGGATATGAAGACTGCAGACGATATCTGTCGGGAGCGAATGGGTGGGGTATTCTATGACGATGATAAAGCTTGAAGTTTCCGAAGGTTGTTTGGTTGCGTGTTCAAATCACGTCGGGGTCACCACTGTGGCCGTGGAAGGAAAAGGGGAGATCTCCCGCCGGGCAAGGTGTTCTGCCCGGGGAGCGGCCGACACTCCGTGTGATAGTTCGGAGATGTTCTATATATACTGTTTATGATTCGGAATGTTGATAGCGCGATTTAGGCTTCGGTGTGTTTTCGCTTGTGGCGGCGACGACAGCGCCGCTACACTTAGGGACTCTATGAGACGCAAAAAATATATAAAAAAATTGGAAAATTGGACTTATGCGCATTACGAACAATACCATAAACATACATAGCGGATGAAAATATCCATTAAAAGAAAAAAACAGTGCATCCCTAGTTTTAACCATCGGCACTTTGATAGTGCGCGGCGTCTTGTTGTCGGCATCATCAAAGTTCGAATACTGACCTGTCAAAGAAATTTTGCAGCTATTCGGAAGTACAAGGTCAAGATACACGCGCCGGCGGCTTCTATTGATAGTTAGTGCGCCGCGCCGCACGCACTACATTTGACACTGTTTGAATGCCACCACAGAGTACATGTTCTAAAGAATAAAATAAGTTTCCGGGTGCTCAGAATGGACACGAATATATTATGCTGATCTCGGAAGGAATATTGTAATTAGATAATGGTAAGGATAGGTAGATACCATAATAATTTATTCTAGTAAGTAATTATTATAATATTAACTATATGGGTTTATAATTATTACTTCCTATTATTATTATTACCTAATAGATAAACATGTTCAATAAGTTCACTGCAAATCTCGATTTTTGGAAGTGTGTGTTTTTGAACACAAAGTGTTCGAATATGTCGTCACCCATTTGATAAATATTGTAGACACTTTTAACACACTTGAAACGTGTAAACATTTTGTACAATACTAATCGAATAATATAAAAAGTGTGCATATTAAATAATAAGCGTAAAATAAGATCTAAGTACTTTTTAGGAGCCCGAGTATCTCTTAGAGAACCGTTTAAAGAAATTGATTGCATCGAATTGATGTAAATAATAGTGATTTGCACAATTTTAATAGTAGAAATAAAAATAAAATCACAATACTTGTTTTCCGGTTACACAAAGTATATAATGCGTTCTTGGGTAGCGATATACGCTTTTATAATAAGATTCCAAAAGAAATGTTAGATCTTTCACCTTTTCAATTTAAGTCAGACAAAAATACTTGGAACTGACCTTTCGTACTACACAGGACTAACTAGAAATTTCTAAACCGATTTGGTATCTACATATACATTTGACATTTTATGTTTGAGTTATCGCTTTACATAATTATAGAACTATTGTAAAAATATTTTCAAAAGAGCAACTGCTGAGTTTCTTATTTTCTTCCATGATTCTTCTCAGTAGAATCAGAACCCCTGGACATAGAAAAGAAAAAATTGGGGAAAACAGTGATTATATGACTATTCAAAAGTGTATTTTAATGCTTACTTGAATAAAACATATTTGAATTTTGAATTTCAAACGAGTGAAGGCAAATTTAATTTAACTAACGTAGATTAATTCAATCACAAGAAGAACATAATATACACAATTTTATTTACATATTGACATTTCATTTTTACGTAGGTACACAATACCTATCTGGCAACGCATCTACTTTATTAATCTTCTGAAGAATCATTAATTTTATCAAAGGATGCCGAACTTTCCTTTGTCGGTCTTTCGGCGTGTACTATCAAATAGTAGTATTTATTTTAATTCCAGTCATTCCCAATTCCCAATTGAGCTTTGCTTCGAGTCTAATGTATTAATTGTTTTTACTCAAATACTTGTTGTTCTCGGAGTGATAAGTTTACAATTTGACATGAGTGACGAAGAGTCGAATAGTTCTAGGAGGTGAGAGTTGGACTTATAGATCTAAAAGAACTAAAAGTAAATTTTATGAGTTTTTCGACATAATTCATGCATATCAAATTGCTTTGTGTAAATTATGCCAACATAAAAAGGTTGAAATAAAAATGAAAAACAGAAACACTTCAGGCTTAAGGAAGTATCTAATATCTTTCCACAAAAAGGAATCACAAATATTTCTTCCTAAAAAACCAAAATTAAGTGGAGATATCACAAGCTTTATAATAACCACCGGAAAAAGTGGACAGGTAAGAAAAAATATACTTATCACACAATTACATAACACATATATTATGTAACTGGCGGCCGCCTGCGACTTCGTCCGCGTACAATATCTGATTTCCTATGAGATTTTGAAATTTTCTCGCTGCAAAAGTCTTACCGAAGTATAAAGGGGCTATATAGGTAAAGCTTAACTATGCAAGTATTTATTATTTAAAACTAATAAAGTAAATGTCGATCTTCATATCTATACTTTAAAAATATAGGACTTGCATGTAACCATTTTACCCCAATTTCACCCCCTTAGGGTTAGGATTTCGTAAAACAGCTTATTCAGGATTTTATTATTGAAAACTTATAACTTTAATTCCGATTTTCGTGTCTCTAACTTCAAAAACGTAGGATTATCATAAAAACTTCCAACTCCTATTTCACTCTCTTAGGGATATCTGATCTCTATTCCATAAAAGGAACCTACCTTACAAACTTCAAGTTTGTATGTTTTATAGTTCCTGTGATATCGTTATAGTCAGTCAGTGAGTGGTAGTTATATATATATATATATAACTACCACTATATATATATACATATATATATATATACATATATATGTAGATTGTAGTGTTAAATATGTATTTATAATTTACTCATATTTTCATTTGTTTTTATAATCGGCGAGACACATGACTTACTGTTTTATTTCAGTCTGAAAATAGCAGTGACAACATCACGACAGCTACAGTTGATTGGATGGTTAAAAAATATCTTCCCTTCTCATTTTTCGATGACGAAGCTACACATGTATATTTTCGATCAATTTGCCCAAATGTGGTGTTTCCTAAAAGGAAAGTCAAAGAACTTAGAAGGAAGGTCAAAGAACGGTTTGAAGAGCTTCAATTGAATCTTAAGAAACGACTACAACAATTTTCATCTAAAATGCCGTTTACCATCGATGAATAATAATAATAATAATAATAATAATCGTCACAGAGCAAAACCTGGCAGACCGAGTTCGGTATATCTTGCGCTCAAATATATTTGATGTCGCCGAACTCGAACGGCTACGACGTGAGGCTGTTCCCTCGTCGGATGAGAATGCTACGGCTGAGGATGCGGCGCCACAAATGGTAGAGCAACCCGCAAACGTGGATGCCGCCGTGAATACCCCAGTTGTGGTTGATTCAAACGATGATGGAACAGTCGCCCAGGAACTGGAATTAGAGCATATGAGGAGTATATTGGAAGAGGCGATTGTGGAAACGCGCAGTACGCCTCTCGAAAATCGACCGCGACTTCCCCGCATAGCCCTAAGCAAGCGGAATCGGGCTGTCGTGAGGGCTCTGAACCCAATGCTGGTTACCTATTTGGAAGCCAGCCGGGACCTTTGCGAGACGGACTCAATTCTTTTTGGCGCCGCGCTGGCAGTCTGCCGTATCATAGGCGCCAAGGTTTCCACGGCTGGACGCGCTACTGGCCATAGTAGCGCTATCCCAGCGTGGAGAAGAAGAATTGAGGAACGTATCGCAAAGGCTAGAGCTCTCATCGGCAGACTGATATGCTTCAGATCAGGCAACAACAGGCCAAGAATTGTGCGCACCGTCAGGATGGCGTTTGCTGGGACAAATGTCAGTTTGTCCCAGCCGGATATAACGCAAAAACTGAAGGAGCGCATAGATGATCTGAAGCAGAGAATCGCTGCTTGGGGAAAGCGGATTCGGCGATATACCGAGAGGTCGACACGGTTCAACCAGAATCGTCTCTTCCAGAGTGATCAGAAGAGGCTCTATGAATCATTGGAGCGACCAATGGTAAGTGGAACGGGTCCAGCACCGGATCAGGCCGACACTGTAGCATTCTGGCGCGGCCTGTGGTCAGAGCCCGTAAACCACTGCGAGGGCCCTTGGACGGAAGTTGTGGCGAGTCAGTGTGCGGGTATTACGCCCATGGACCCCGTCATCATAACGCCGGATGACGTAGCTGAGGCGGTTCGTAGGGCCCCGAACTGGAAAAGTCCGGGGCTTGACGGGCTGCATCACTACTGGCTGAAGGGGTTCATGGTGTGTCACTCTGTGCTCGCCCGACAGTTTCAAGAGGCTCTCAACCAGAAGTCGCTCCCAAGCCTCTTCACTACTGGGATCACTCATTTAGTTCCTAAAGACCAGGGTACCACAGACCCGAGCAAATACCGCCCCATCACGTGTCTACCGACCATATACAAGACACTAACATCCATTTTGAGCGCGAGAATCACTTGTCACCTGGACTCAAATCAGGTGATGTCGCGCGCTCAAAATGGATGTCGGGGCGGTGGTCGTGGAACCAAGGAACCACTCCTCATTGACGCGGTCATTGGCAAAGTGGTGAAACGCAACCGTCGGAACTTCTCCGCCGCCTGGATAGACTACAGAAAGGCATTCGACTCGGTGCCCCATACATGGCTAAAGAGAGTCCTCGAGCTGTACAAGATAGACTGTACAGTTAGAGACTTCCTCGAGCAGTGTATGGGGCAGTGGAGTACGATCCTTTGTCATCTAGGCGAGCGGATGATGGCTGCGGAGAACCACATAAGGATAAGAAGGGGTATCTTCCAGGGCGATTGTCTGAGTCCAATCTGGTTCTGCCTCTCTCTGAACCCTCTCAGTACCTTACTGGAGGGCTCCGGGAGGGGGATTTCAGCTACGGAAAGGAGGGACAAAAGTGACCCACCTTTTCTATATGGATGACCTCAAGTTATTCGCCTCCAGTCGCTCCCATCTTATGGAATTGTTAAACATCACTTGTGAATTTAGCAATTCTATTGGAATGGAGCTGGGAACGGATAAGTGTGCGGTCCTCCATGTTGAAAGGGGACGGGTTGCTAACTCTGAGGGCGTAGACTTATCTATGCCCGTCAACTTAAGGACCCTTTCCGAGGCTGAAACATACCGATACCTGGGTATGTCACAAAACATCGGTATCGATGAGACTGGTATGAAACAGTCAGTTTGCGACGTGTTTTATGCACGCTTGACCAAAGTGCTTAACAGCCTTTTGTCCGGTGTGAATAAGGCACACGCATATAACGGCTGGGTCATGCCTGTCCTCATGTATACCTTTGGCATACTCAGGTGGACTCAGACTGAACTTAACGCCCTGGATAGAAAAGTCCGCACTACAATGACGTCCCATAGGATGCATCATCCGAGATCGTCGGTAATGAGGCTGTACTTGCCGCGGAAGCATGGTGGTCGTGGCTTCTTGAGCGCGCTCACCATGCATAATCGCGAAGTGTGCAGCCTCCGTGATTACTTCCTGGCGAGATCGGATGATCCATTCTATAAGGACGTCATTTCTTGTGATAAAGGACTTACCCCTCTATCCTTAGCCAACGAGCAATGGCAAGACCCGGCAGTGCAGAGCATTTCCGACCGGGAGACCGTATGGAAGGAGAAGGAGCTCCACGGGAGGTTCTACAAGGCTCTACATGAGCCTTTCGTAGACACAGTAGCCTCCCTCCACTGGCTACGCTTTGGTGATCTCTTCGGGGAAACCGAGGGTTTTGTCTGTGCAATACAGGATCAGGTTATTAAGACCAACAACTATCGGAGATACATCCTAAAGGATGGCACCGTCGACATCTGTCGAGCTTGTCGCCATCCCGGTGAGTCACTTAGGCATGTTATCTCCGGTTGTTCGGCGCTTTCTAACTCTGAGTACTTGCACAGGCACAACCTAGTAGCCAGAATTCTACACCAGGAGCTCGCTCTGAAATACGGTCTCGTGGATCGGAAATTGCCGTATTACAAGTACTTGCCGGAAGCCGTGCTCGAAAATGATCGCGCCAGGCTCTATTGGGACCGTGCCATCATCACAGACAGGACTATTCTTGCGAATAAGCCTGATATTGTGCTGATGGACCGGGCACAGTCAAGGATATTTTTGGTCGACATTACCATTCCGTATGACGAGAACCTCGTGAAAGCCGAAACAGACAAGCAAACAAAATATCTGGACCTGGCTCACGAGGTGACCGACATGTGGGGTGGTCTGCCGACCGAAATTATTCCTGTAGTCGTCTCTGCAAACGGGCTAATCCCAGTCAGCCTCTCGGGTCATCTGAGGCGGCTGGGACTACGTGGCGGACCGCTCCAGGTTCAAATGCAGAAGGCGGTGCTCCTCGATACCGCCCGCATCGTCCGCCGGTTTCTTTCCCTTTCCCCCTAACCCTCGGCCGTTTGGTCTCCCCTGCCGAGGGCCTCCATCTGGTTGGGCTTTTATTTATTTATGTACTTTTATATTTATTTTATGTTATTGATATTTATGTATATTTGTCTTTTCATTTTCATTTATAATTATATATTTATAGCACCCAACCAGATGAGAAAACTATATAGATACCCCAAAATAATAATGAAGTAAAAAGTACGAATGGAAGTATCGATCTGTAGTCCTTGATTTTATACCATCACGCGGTCGACATACTGGGGAAGATATTGCAACGATTTTCCACGAATGTTTATTGGAATATGACATAATTGTTAAAATACAGGGTATCACGGTTGACAACGCAACTGCAAATACCAAATTTATGTATGAATTGGACAAACAGCTGCCACACTTTGATTCAGACAATTAACATTTCCGGTGCTTTGCTCACATTTTGAACCTTGGTGTACAAGATTTATTAAAGACCTTAGCATTACACAGTGAAACTGACAATAAGGGACAAGAACAGCAGTATGAAGATAATGAAGACGAAACTGAGGAAGATGAAGAATATGCGCCAAATATTGCTGACTCACGTACAGCTATAACAAAATTACGCAGTATTTCCAGTAAAATAAAAAAGAAGTGAGATATTGAAGAGGAAGTTTCAGTCTGCTTGTGAAGCAGCTGGCGTGCCATCAAATCTGAAACCCATACTCGACTGTACAATGAGATGGAATTCCACACATTATATCTTTGGATTTGGTTTAAAAGTGAGAACTGGCATTAACATGTTGTGCACTTCTGTCACCGAATTGAATGATTTTCAAATCACAGATAGTGAATAGCAAATACTCGAAAAAATACATAAGTTTCTAATAAACTTTAAACTTCTATCAACGAAACTTGGTGGAGAAAAATGTGTTACATTACCGCTGGTCATTGTATCATTCAATCTCTTGCTCGATATAATTGAATCAATTAGATGAGCAACCTAATCGATCCGAAGTGGATGAAAGGCTTATTCTGGGTTTTCAAGCAGCTCGAGACAAAATGCTTAAACATTATAAAAAGAGCAACTGGATTTATTGTACCTCTTTAATTTTGGACAAGGCATAAGACTCAGACTTTTGACATGACATTATGGGGGAAGCAAATTAAAACAGAAAGCCTGCGCAAATTTAATGAACTTTATAAAGAATATAAAAGTCTACACTCAGTGAATACATCTCTAGAATCACCAAGAAATGAAAAGAAAGTATGTGAATATGAAGACGTAATAGACTTTGAGAAATTGTATGCATGTCCCTCGACGTCATCTGGATCTGGATCTTTTCATCAAGGTTTAGTTATAGACGAGTTGGAGGAGTACCTAAGTAAACCCAGAGCCGCCAGTTCGGAAGACATTTTAGAGTGGTGGATGACGCATGAGACAGAATATCCGACTTTATCGAAGATGGCCCGTGATTTTCTTTCAATACCCGCAACTTCAGTACCTGCTGAGAGATTATTTTCTAAAGCGTCATTAGTAATAAGAAAACATAGAAATAGGTTAAGAGATGAGTCAGCCAGATAGTTACTTTGTATTAGTTCTTGGTCAAAAGAATTAATATAAAGTAACAGTAATGTCAAAGCTGTTGTGTACTGTTATGTAATTTAATTTGTATTGTATTTTATTATTTTATTTAAATAAATGGTAAATTGTATAACTCTTTTATTCCATTTCATATAAGAGTCTATCAATCTCTTTCTAGACAGATAATGTTCTTTATAATACAATCAAGTTAATGTCATTAATTTGTTTTTTATATGTTTTGACTAAGTTTTAGCACATGTAAGCTTATTGAATGTAAACGTTTATTAAGAAACAGACTAACTCCCGTGGCCGTGAGACTTGGTAGACAGCTCAGTTGGTTAGAGCATCGGCACGGATCGCTTAGGTCGTGGGTTCAAACCCCACCCGGTATTAGTTGAATTTCGAATTTCTCATTAAATGTTTAGACATTTATTAAGTTGGTTGGTCTTTCTATGGCTATGTTAATTCAAGCTCATAATGTGCCTACTCTGTTAAGTTGTTCTAAGATCTAAAGTAACGTTTAATAAATAACAATAGGCTAATAATAGGTAATTGCGAGACTTGCGAGACTCTTGCTGCAAGACGAGGACCAAGAACAAGACTGAGAGCGCAATACCAAGACCAAGAACAAGACCAGGTGTATTGGCGCAAAGGCCAAGACCAAGACTGGCTAAGTCTCGTCTTGTTCTTGCATTTGGGCAACACTACCATCAATGTTGACAACACAGTTGACTCCAGGTGTCCATGAGCTGCAGCAGCTACTAAGAATCAAGTGGACTATAAGTTCGTTTATCACTTCGATTTTATAAAAAAAATATATTATTTACAAGCCGTAGGCACTTTTTTATTCATCATTAACATTATTATTACAGCCTTTCACAAGTCCACTGCTGCAGTCTCCCCCAAGGATTGCCACAAAGAATATTATATTATGAAAAATATAGTGATCAGCTGGAATTGGTACAACGTAAATATCTTCGGTTTTTAAACTATAAATGCTTTAGGAAATGGTCATCGTATCTCACTCATTTAGATAAATTCTCAATTCCCACTCTAAAAATGAGAAGATTATATTTTGATCAGTTATTCTTATACAAAATCTGTCATAATAAATTAGATTGTAATCAACTCATATAACCAAATATATCTACGCATACCTAGTCGGTCCCAACGCATTCGTAATACGTATAATCATCGTTTATTTGCTCCTAAGATGTGCCGAACAAACGCGGGGGCGAGAGCTCCACTACGGCGTATCATGAAATCGTATAATGGTAACTTTACTGATCTTGACATATTTGCTTTATCATTTGTAATGTTTAAAAAGTGTATTTAAAAAAAAATTACTACTAAGTAAGGCATTGCCTTAAGGTTTAAACAGTTTATTAATGATTCAACTGTTGATTCTCGAGGCAAGTTTTAGCTAGCATAGCCACTACAGTGGTTGTGTTGGCTGGGATCTGCTCAGGGAACGCTCGAATTATTCATCTTTTGTGGTATCATACAACATGTTTGCTGTGCATTATTATATTACTTTTATTGTGATATTACTTTGTGGATAACGGTGCTGGTTGTGTAATTATTGTATTTCCCTTTTTGTAAGACCTGTATTTTGTATTATATTTTATTACACAATTGTTTGTTGTCCTGAAAAAAAAAACATAGCGTGGTCCTGAGCCACCTGCTACCATCGACTTCCTGCATATCTTACCAGGTCCCTCCATCTAGTGAGACGACGCCACACATTTCGTCCATCGGCAAAAGCAGCCACTTGTGAACCTTTCTTCCCCACCGGTCGTCGGTAATACTTTTTATTATATCATTTGATTGATACGTTACTTTCGAAAATATTTTATTTATATTATAAATGAAATATTTATAACATATTAATCATGGAATATAAAGACAATAGCATTTTCAGTTCGTTTGAAATATAAAGTGTTAAAAACATCGGACGTTGGAAGTAACTGCGTTTTAAAATGTTCAATCCGCCTTTTAGTGGCTTGAAACGGTCGTCGGACCATAAAATCAATTAAGTACCTACTGGATATAAAACAGTAACGAAAATTTTTTTGTGCATTAGTTGATATTTTATTATGAAACAGTGTACAGATAAAAGGCTTGTATAATATTTACGTTTCCATAGCGCAGTGGCCACACGTATGGCGTCGTTGCGAGCTGCGTATCGAATCCCGGAAAAATACAAGGTATGGTCCACAGATAATTGATTGAGCTTTACGGGAGAAATCTTTCTAAAAGTATATCTTTTATTATCACTACCATCATCATCCTAACAATCCATTTCTGGACCTGGCCTTATGTATAATTAATTAAAAAAATAGGCAACACTATTTCATACTTCATGAGAAAATTACATTACGCGAAAGTACTTTAGTTAATTTGATGTGACTAAAAAGAAAAAGTTTGGTACTTATCTCAGTTATTACGGATACGCATCTGAGATCGAACCACGAGCACTTTACTATTTTACATAACACTAGGAAACCGAGAAAAGTAAAGAAGCAACCCTGA